CCGTTATCAGTGCCTACAATGCTGCCTTTGGGGCCAGTTGTAGTTGCCAGATGGTCTTTAAGGAGAGCCCCATGCAGAGCATATCACTGTAATCCAGTTGTGAGGTGACTGGGGGATGAATGGCTGTCTGTGATACTTCTGTTTCTTAGAAATAGTTTTACAGCTCCACCCCTTCCATTATTACATACTAGGCCAAATGAGAAGCTAACTCATGCGGTTAGCAGTTTTGTGGCTCTCCTATTTGAGCTTTCAAAACTGGAAGAATTCCATTTTGTCCCACTTCATTCTTCATCCAGACAGATAATTTTAGGTGGCCAAAACCAGTAATTTTACTCCCCCCCCCTTCATGTGATAGAAGAGCCAAGGTGTTCTCAGTCATATAATTTTGCCTTGTATATTTCTTACTTTTTCTTTTAAAGTTATATTTGGAGCAAATACAGTTAGCCTTCTAGCTGCCTGTCTTCTGTCTCCACCTTATTCTGAAATGTTGTTTTGGCTTAATTCTGCATCTATTGTGCACTTCAATGATTTTTAAGTTTTCTCTCTCTCTCTCCCTCCCTCTCCCTCTCCCTCCCTCTCTCCCTCCACACATACATGTCTGTCTCTTTTCTCTCTCTGTCTCTCTCCACACATATATACACACACACAAATCTGCTTCTACCTGAGACTATTCTATTTTGGCCTTTTATGGAATTATTTTAAATATACATAAGGATAATTCCCATTTTAAAATATTGCAGTGATTTATTAGTTTATATTGTTTTAAATTGAAATTGTTTATCACTGAGTTCAACTTGTTGATTCATGGTGCTTTACAGCAAAACAATAAAACATGCATCATAACAGGATTCAAACAAATCCAGTATTAATACCTTCACAATGAATTTAAAAATAAAATATTTAAAAGAAGATTATTATTAGAACAGCAGGTGGAAGCTACAGCTGGGAGCGGGAGACCTTGTTATAGTGATTCATTCTATTGTTGTGTCAGACCTCCCTGGTAAACCAGACAGAAAGCATGAGGTAAATTTACTTTATTGTGAGGCTACATTAACAAAAACTTGCAAGTCTGAAGGTACAAAACTTCCTAGCTGCCACTTTCAATTGCTTGATCCATTAGGGCGGGTCCGTTGTTTCTTTCTCTAATAGTTAAGTCACTGGAGGCTCCTTCATCTCTTGTCTGATTGTTTCTTAGACAGCATCTCTTCCTTCCTTTTCCAAAGGTCATTTTCACATAGCATTATGTGTTGCCATTTCTTTGGTCTATTGCAACATGCTCCACATCTTTAAAGACCAATCAGGCTGCAGTTGGTTTAGAATGCAGCAATCTATGTTATAATCCGGGTTAAAAGGTGGCAATACATTATATCAACATTGCAGACTCTGCTCTGCTTACCAATGGGACTTCAAGGGGTAATTTGTAATACTAGTGCTAGAAACTCTGGCGTGACTGGTTTTCTATAGGATGACATTCTCTCATTGAAACTGGGGCCAGCTGGTACAATCTCCGTTCAGCACGGTAAGGGAGATCTGGAAGCCCTGCATTTTGGTGGCAATACCAGACCTTTAGATAGCTTCTCAGTGGACAGCCAGTTGGCTCCCACCTTCTGAAAGCAACTCTCAGCAAAGGTTGTTCAGGATGCAGTTCCATTTTAGTTGAATTATGGTTAATATTTGGCTTTGTTAATTCTGTTTTATGTTTCTTAATTGGATTGCAGCTCTTTTATTTGTGTGTTTTTAATTTGTGTACTCTACTTTATATATTTTATCTTGTAAATCACTGAGAGTCCTTAGGGATTGCCCACAGTTTATAAATATGGTTAAGTAATAAATAAATACTATTTAGTCTCTCTGGGATACTTTCCAATAATCCTGGGAATGGACTGGCTGTATGCTTATAATCCACATACTCATTGGCCATGGTGACTTCACATTTGATTTTCCAGTACAGGTAGTCCTTGTCTTATGACCACAATTGAGCCCAAAATTTCTGTTGTTAAGTGAGACATTTGTTAAGTGAGTTTTGCTGCATTTTACAATCTTCCTTGTCATAGTTAAGTGAATCACTGCAGTATCAGTTTTATTCCTGGACCTATAAAATGCCAGAAAAAGTTTGATTAACAGATCATTGGCTTTTTTATACCAGTAGCCTGTCAGAAGCTGGAACCTTGAATGGTGTGATCTAAACCCCTATCTATCCTGGCCCAGTCCTACTTCGCCATACATTAGGAACAGAAATTGGTGATTGTTTTTACTATCAGCAGGGATATTCATGGGGAGGGGAAATTAAGCCGGGGAATCCAAGAAACACTGCCGGGCTGTCCAAGCGGCATCACTTGGAAGCCTCATCACTCTGGCAGAATAGAATCAAGTCCCAAAACACCCACATGCCCCTCACCCACTTACCTTGCAGCCAGGCCTCTCCTCACCAGCCCACTTCTTCTACGGTATCCCCAGGCCTGCATTTCACAATCAGAGGCCTTTCCAGAAGGCCACTGTAGCTAAGAACCGAGCAATGGATTCAATCCATAGCTCGATTCTGCAAGGCCTCTGCAGCTGAGAACTGAGCTGTGGATTCAATCCATAGCTTGGTTCTTGGCTGCAGTGGTTTTCCGGAAAGGCCTTTGATGGCAAAATGCAGGCCAGAGCTCCATTCTGAGTTTCAGAGTGAAGCTGCTCCTTTGGCCACAGAAGAAGTGGGCCGGCTGGTGAGTGGAAAAGATACCCACCCAAAATAAGAAGACCTGGTGCCTCTTTTGGAGGCAAAAAAAAAAAAAAAAAAAGACCGGGTCTTATTTTTGGGGAAACACAGTATTCCCCAGAGTGACATCAGAAAAATACTTGTGAAAAATATACTGTATGACCCTAATCTTTTGTCAGTGAAGAAGCTCACAAAACAAGGCAATGTAGTGATCTTTCAAGGAGACAGTTGTATCATCACAAAAGGCTAAGGATATCTTGCAAAAGCTAAAATTACAGATAAACTGTATCAGCTGAACTACAGTCAAGTAGTTAATATTGCCAAGGAAGAAAAACATTCAAATTGTATTCACACATGGCACAAAACGACTTGGACACAGAAGTCCTGACATAATAAAGCAATTAACTGAGAAAGACTATCTAAATGTTATAAAAGAAGAAACCAGGCCACAAGAGGTTTCAATCAGGAGATACAACAGAAGCAATAAAGGCATCCCAGCCAAACATCTGTCCTATGTTGCTTGTGAAACATTAAAACCCAGAGACAGGAAGGAGAATCCAAAAGAGACTTCAGCCCAACCAGGACCAGAGCCTCAGCAGCTCCAGTGCCAGTCCTTAGAGAGCCAAGTCCAAAGTCATGGCAGCAGTGCCAGTTCTGTGGACAGCTAGGAGAGCAAGAAGAGGAAGAAAAAGGACAAGAAGAATTATAAGAAACAGGAAACAGAACTAAAATCAGAAAAGGGACTATTATAAAGAGTTGAATGGAAATGTTTTATAGATGGCATTTGGATCCTAAAAAGTTATTTTGTATGTATCCAAATTTGCAACCCAAATGTTGGAGATGTGGTTCCTTGGATGCAACTTATTTTCATGTTTGGTGGACTTGCAAAAATATTAAAACTTTTTGGATTATGATTTGGTGGAACATTCAAAAGATTTTTAAAAGGAAAATTAAATTTACTCCCCAATTATTTCTTTTGGGTATTTTTGTGGATTTTGATGTTAAAGATACTATTTTAATGCTGAATTTAATAACAGCAGCAAGACTATTGGTGGGTCAGTATTGGAAAAAAGATTCTTAACCTTAAAGATTATTTAAGGTTTCTAACTTAGCAGAAATGGCTAAAATTTCTGCTTACTTAAAGGACCATTCACAAAAGAGATATGTTTCTGTATGGAGAAGATGGATAGAATATATTCAGAAGAAGTATGGAACAACAAAGTTTCATTTATTTTATGAATAATGGATTTTTATTAAATTATGAATTCAAGTTTGCAGAGAGTTAAGGGTTATTAGGATTCCGGTTATTGTATAAGTAGTAAATTTAAGTTGGCTATGTGTAGTTTTCTTTTTTTTCTTTTCTTCTTTTTTTTGTAACCCTGTACTGAGCTCTGGGAAGTCGGGGGGGGGGAAGGGGGTGGGGGGAGGGGGGAGTATGGGTAGTATGTTCAATAGTTCAGATTTTGGTGATAGAGGATTGCTCGGGCATTTTCCCTCAGACCGCATCCGATTGAGAAGAAGAGGCGAGGGATAAGTAAGTAGAAAGATGGAGGAGAGAGGGAGGGGAGGAGAGGAGGAGGTAGAAGGAAGGGGAAAGTGAAGAGATGAGAGGGGGATGCGGTCTGGGGGGAAATGGGTGAGCAATGTCGGAATTTGTGTGTTGTAAAAAAAAAGAAAAGAAAAAAAAGTTGAATGGGAGTGTTGGAATTCATTGTTAGAATGTATTTTGTATTGCAACAACTACAGAATCATTCAGCCAGTAGATGGCAGTGTTTAGTATGCATCTATGGTTACAATGTATGGTTCCTTTAAAGTTATAAGGAGTTTCGTGTGTCAGTTGAAAAACCATTAAGCAACAAAGGCGATGGTGACTATACACCAGAGGTGTCAAACTGCCGGCCTGTGGGCCGGATGCATCATGCCGAAAGCGCACCCACCCTAGCTCTGGCAATGGGGGAAAAGTTGTGATATGTCACATGTCACGTGATGTGGCATTTGGCGCCCCTGCTGTATACTGTACATTTTATTTGATCTGTATGGGTATGTAATCCTCCTCTGCTACCAATCTGCATGGCTGTATAATAACCCTCTGCTATAATTTCTATAGAATAGAAGAGAATTTCTATAGAATAAAAGAATTTCTGACATGCCCAGTAAGTGGGATTTGATAAATTTTGTTTTTGAAGTGAGTCATTACTCTGTTGAACTTTGATTTGTTGAACATTGAACATTGATTTTTAACTGACTTCGTCTAATGTCATTTTGGGATGCTATATTCATACTTTATTTTATTTTGCAGATTGTACATGCACATAAACCACAATTCATGGCATTACATTGTCAAGAGTTTGGAGGGAAAAACTATGAAGCATCTATGTCTCACGTGGACAAGTTTGTTAAGTAAGTAACAATCAATCAATTTATTATTACAGCCAAAGGCCAACATATAAATTAAACATTCAAATAAAACAAAACTAAACAGAACCAAAATAGGAAGATATAGCAATATATTACAATTAATGATGTAATCAATGGGTTACCAAGGTCTGCCTAGCTTTACAGACAGTACAACAAAAATTGGCTACCTTCAGAAAAACTGAATCATACTGACCTGACAATAAAAATACATTGAGTATAGTCTAATGCTGGATAAAAACACGTAATAAAATTAATTATAAAAGATTATTAAAAAGATCTAAAATGTTTATTTATGTTTCTGGCGAATCCCCAATGCTGCTGCACAGAATCTGCGCCGTGATCACTAAGTTAAATAACAAGAAAGGCAGACCAAAGCTAGATTAATACTTTTGCTTGGTCAACTTTGATTATTGTTGAAAATAAAATAAATGCAAACCGTTTGATACCTTCTTCAAATTACTACTCTGTTCACCTCTACAATAAGTATGTTATTTTATATTCCAGTATTATTTATAGAAAGAGAAGTGCTTGCACTACTTGTTTGATTTGTCTTGCTATTACTTTAACCATTCTATACTAAATCAGTGTTTGTTTATCTAACTCTGGGAGGAAGCCATAGACCTTTGCGCCCTAGACCCCACTTTCATAGTCTGCCAGTCCTTGTTTTGCTGTATTGTTTTGATACATTAAAATATTATTCTTAAACAAAAAGGAACAAGCATAGAGCAAAGACCAGCCTCTATGATATTATTTCCAAGAATGCCCTTGGACTCTGTAGGCTCTATAGACTTTCTGTAGGTAAACATGCCCTCCCCCGTCACCAAGACCTCCCCAGCTGCCAATCAAGCAGTGTTAGGCAGGAGGAAAGACAAGATGACTGCTAGGAATTCTGCAACCATAGGTCTCATGAAGAATAGGCTGAATTAGCAGAGGGAAAGCCCAGGCAAACAGAGGTAAACCTTGTGGTGAAATGGGGTCAAACACATTTAATAAACAAACAAACAAACAAAAAGACAGAGAACCCTAATGAGAAAGAGGCAACTGGAAAGAAGGTAGTCACTGAGAAAACTGGGGAAAGAGGCATTTTATTTCCTTCCCTTAAAAGTGGTATGAGGTAAAAGTTCTTTGAGTCATTTCCCTCAGTCAGAAGAAAAATTCAGAAGAGGGTAAAAAAGATTAAATAAAAGAAAAGATAGATTGAACTCTATCAAGAAAAGTGTGTAGCGCTTTAGAGATTGGCAAAAGAGATTAAGATAAGAGGAATATAGAGGTCATCAATATATGCGTATATTATGGCTATAAATTGGTGTTTAAAAGTATGCAAACAAGTGTAATGTTTTGGGACTTATGTGGAAAACATCATGGTTTATGCAGTATGCAGAAAATCCAAAAGAGTTCATTAGTACCACTGTAGAAGAAAAAAACATGAGAATATAGTGAAATTGGACTTTAAATAATTAAAATGGAAAACATTTTTATTATTCAGTTTAAATTCTGTTCTACTTGAAAGCATTTATAATTCACAATTCCCTTTTTTAAATGTATGCTTTATTTTTATAAAATACAAGTGCCCCCCCCCCAGCCACTTGAAGGAACATACAAAAATGCAATCAATTTTCCAGATTTCTAATGCCTTGTATATTTTGAGTTAGGGTCAACCTGTTTATTGGTGGTTTTTTTTAAAAAAAATAGAACAACCTGCCAAAGTTATCTTCTTCTGATATGCTGACTACTCTGCTATAGTACTTCCCATCTTGAGTGGATACTTTTTTCTGATTATTTCACCTCTGCAGAATAGTAATTATATTCTACTTCAAAGAAAAGTAGCCCCTGTCTGATGTGGTTTAGTAATAATTTATTCTTGGAGTATAATTTTTTAAGACATACTTTTACCACATAAGTGAACATAAAAAGAAATGGTTTTTCCTTTGTTGAAAAAAGAGAAACAGTGCCCTCTCCTGAGCACTAGAAAGAATCTTAACAACAACACCCCATTTTTATTACACTAAGATTCCTTTTAGTGGAACATACTTAAAAGGTGCCTGCAAAGATGCATGGCTTGACTTGTGAAGGAGAACCCAACAAATAAACAATATAATAGCAATTAATTAAATGCAGCAATTTATTTCCATTGTTCATTTGTACTGATTTCTCTAGTAACCTCCCCAAAAGTAAGGAGCTGTTAATATGTTTTGATTTTTTGCAAATTTACTCTGCGTATTTTCTTTTTAATTTTTTTTCAGAGAATTGCTATCTAGTGATGCAATGAAAGACTACAACAGGGCCCGGGTTTATCTGGATGAAAATTTCAAGTCACAGGAACACTTTACGGTAGATTTCCTGACACTTTTTTGTATGTTATGGATGACTTCACTTACTCTTCTTTCAAAAGATGGCCTTTCTTAATCTTTAGATACAATTCCCACTAACCATGGTCAAATGTTTGTTAAAGAAATTCCAGGAGTTGCATTATTGGCATATATGGAGGAATCTAATTGAGGAAGAGTTACATAAGGCTTTTTCTGAGAGTTATTGCAGGTGAGAAATATAGTGTATTTAATTTGCAACTGCAGATATATTTAATAAGAGCACCCTAGATCAGTGATGGCAAACCTTTTAGAGACCGAGTGCCCAAAACCTGCCTCGCCCCTGCCCCGTCCCTGCATCTCCTGCCCGCAGGGCCACCGACTACTTCCACGGCTCACCACAGCAGATTGCCCAGGTGGCCCAGCAGTGTCATGGTGGCCACGCCCTCTGTCTGCGCCCTGCCGCATCATCTGTACACGATGGGGTGCGAGGGTGGAGTCTTGTCCCTGCTGCCTGGCTGCCATGTCCTTGGCTGTGCTGTTCTGTACAGGCTGCGCCCAGGGCAACTCTTCTCTGGGGGGCTGCTGGTGAAGAGGGGGCCATGGGGGGGCTGGGGTGATGGCGTGCATGCCCACAGAGAGGGCTCTGAGTGCCATCTCTGGCACCCCTACCATAGGTTCGTCACCATTGCTCTAGATGTTAGCTTCATTTTTAAAAAGACAGAACAGGCATTAATAAAATCTGTTAGCAGCAGTATGATAATGGCTGGAGATAATCTACCACATAAAATAAATGATTTTACAAACCCATATAGTAGCAAAAATTTCAGCTATGATAACTAAAAGCAGGTATCTACACCCCAATCAACCAATAAGAAGCTACACCCAATCAAAGGACACATTCCGGTAGTAAGAAGAAAGCTTGGAAGATTAAACCTCTGGTCTCAGTGACCAACCCAGATTGAATCCTGCAAAAATATAGTTACACAATTTAATTGCTTTCTAAGATAAAAATCATCACAAAATAGTAAGATGATAGGAATATATTGTGCATATTATCATAAAATAATCATAAAATACAAGTTTACACAATTCTAAAACAGAATTGGATGCTGTTTGAAATCTTACCACCGCCCTCACCACACCCCAAGGTATAATTTTGAAGTCATGATTTTGAGGTCAGAATTATGGGTTGCTTGATTATATTATAGATTGCTGTTGTGTTTGCTCTGAAACTCCATATATCCTCAATAGAGCAATTGTCTCACAGACAATTCTCACAGACACAAACTAAGAAAAATAACCCCACTAAACTCCTATCAGTCACCCAATCAAAAAAGAACCAAAATAGAAATTGTAAACAAATTGACAATTTAAGAAGCAGAAACCACCGTATCTTCCCACAAATCCACAGCAGACCCTGGCAGTTGCATGTATTCAACCTGTCCCCAATCTTACTAAGAATGTAGGTTAAAAATGGCTTATCTTTTTAATGCCATTTTCATTTTTCTCAGATCGCATTCTGTTTGTTGCCAGGGTAGGAGAGTATACTGTAGTTATTCAGATATTGATTTTGGACTATATTCAAGTGCCAACTCAGTCATGAAGTCCTAGGTAACTTCAGGCCAGTCACTTTCAATCCAGCTACTTCTTTGTCTATCCACTACTGCTTTGGGGATGAAATGAGGAGACCTCCAAGCAAGTCATGACAAAAAGGAAATGAATGAATACTTAGTTTGTGATAGATAGTACTTGGTTTATAAACATCTGTGACATTGTTGTAGCATATAAGAACTATATGATATAATGAACAAAATTCTGACTCGTTGGAATCAATTTATTTGAAAACCTGAACACTGAAAATAACAAGGGAAGAATACATCAACCAAATAGCAAACAGTGAACCAATAGAAATACATATGTAATGAATGCTGAAGATGTTTCACTTTCAATATAAATGCCCCTACAGTGATGAATTTCAGTACTTTAAGCTAATGTGACCTTTAAATAAGATAGGGACTATGCTGCAATATAGAATAACATTACCTTAAAATCATGTTCTCCTGATTGCAAAAAATTGTAAAGTTAATTTTTATTAGATTAATGACATTTGAGCAATATTTTCAGTCAGGCCTACCTCAATTAATTGGCCATTAACTGAAAAAAGAAATTGAATTTATCTTGTACATAAATCCTGTGTTATTAATGGCTTTCAGAAAATTCAATGTGTTCCCAGAAATGGAAAACGCATGCTTGATCTTGATGAGCATATTATCTGTCAGAAGGAACTCTTCTAAATATAATAAAATGATTCAGGAAGAGTGATATAATTGAATTTAGTACAAGGAGAATTCAAATATTTGATTAGTTCATTTAAATCATTTTACGTTCGGGGGGGGGGGAAGAGACTAAATTTTCTTGACTCCTTCTATCCCCTCTAGTCTCTCATGCTGAGCACACTTTCACCACGAGGTGGAGCCAGGATATTACTTTTACACACAAATAAAGCCTCTTGGTGTGCAAACTGTAGCAATCAGTTAAAGGATTTGGTTGCTGAATATTCCTTTTGCTAATTTGGGGATATTCAGAAGGGTGTATTACAGATCTAGGTTCCTGTGACACATTTGGTTTCCAGTGGCTGTCATCAAGCAGTTGAGTAGATTTCTCTTCATTCCAAAACTCATTTTCTGCATATATAGACCGATTTACTATAGAAAGTGGAAAGATTGAGAAGACAACTATGTGTCTAATGTAGATGACCTTGTTTTATTATTTCTGTTTAAAATAATATTTCTCTTTCTAAAATGGACAAACAAAAACATACAAGTTATTTAACCAATAGAGGTAATAATTTTGTAAATTTATTTATAAATATAAGATTGAGATTTAATCTTTGTAATTTGAAAATCTAGCTGAAGTTCTGTTTGGTTGCATTTTTCTTCTGTGCCATTTTTTTCCAACAGAGGTGATTCTCTTTTCAGTCCTTAGTCCCGCAGAACAATTTGACTGTTATCTCCAAATCAAAAACATTAGGCCAGTTTAGATGATAACATTATTTGAATGGGCATAAAAATTGTGCTTTATATTCCTATCAACACTGCTACCCTTCTTGCTTTGGATGCATAACTTTAGTCGAATATGCTCTTACTTACCAATAGTTTCAATTGGTTTTATTTCACACAAGTCAGTTTTCAGAAAATGGCAATTCTAAGCCTATGCATGTTGGAAGAAGCCACTACAGGCATCTAGTTTCTTTATTATCTCTCTTTGTTATCCTTTCCTTGAGTCCTCTTGGTTGAGTATCTAACTTTTTCATGATTTTAAAAGAGGTACTATTTGCCATCAATTAGGCATGCAAAACAATTTGCTCGTCTTTGAAAGTTTTCAAAAATTCATATGGCAAATCATTGTTGGAGATTTCTGTCTCCCACTTTCATTTTAATGACTGTAAACTATTAATTTAATATACACACACATATATATACATACACACACATACATACATACATACACACACACACACACACAAGCATGCAAACATACTTCAAATATTTAATGATGTAATCATTACAGCTAAAGAATAGTGATATATTAACCATTAATGTACTGAATACAAATTTCACATATAAATATCACTTTTTTTCCTTATATGTTCTTTTTCTAGAGATCATATATTTGTCAGTAAAACACATAATTATAATCCTTTAAAAGTAACTCTGCTTAAAAAAAATCCTTGACATCAGCGCAGATATCTTTTTAATAGCATTTCCATTACAAAACCTGTTGACAATTTTTCTGATATTAATTAACAGCCTACTAATCCTTATTGGCTGTGTTCACTCGCCACTTCCATTTGATTTTTGAATGATATGCTAAAGCAGACATGGCTTGTAAACCATTTATAATTAGTATTTTATATGAAACAAGTAACAATGTTTTTTTAAAGTCATGGTTAAAACATGTTTTGGCATAGTCTTTATCATTAAGAAAACTTATGAGAAACTACAGGCTCTTTTTCAAAGTACAAATGTTTCATCTCCATATGAATATCATCCATGGCATGTGCATGCTAGCTGAGGGTTTATTGTTAAAGGTACACATAAAGCTGCTGTGTTTACAGAACTAATTGCAAAGTTCTTTTGATCTTTCTGTGTACAACAGTGCACTAACAATAGTAATTACATAATCTATATATAGAATGTACATACCAATTAACATAAGTAAAAAAAATACCCTGTCCCAAACAGTTAAAAGTCTTCATTTTGATATGGAATGAGAGGAGGAAATATAATAAATGTTAATAATTTAATAAGGTATAAATGGAGATGCTACTCAAAAGATGCATACAAAACATCACATTTGATTAACATGAAAAAGATCTCTTCCTGATCTTTCTTTGTTGATGGTATTACACTGATTATTTAAAAATAATGTCAGTTGTCTAGAAGAAAGGCAAAAGCTCTACAATACTTTGATCTTTTCTACTGTAGATCCCCCCCCCCAAATAATAATATAGGCTTACACACATTATTTTAATCAATTATATAGCTTGGAAAGTAAAAGATGAAAGAATATTACGGTTCAATTATAGAGAACATATGTAGAATATATGTAACTCATAGTTAAACTGTTGATAACAAAACATATTCAGATAAAACAGCCAAGCTCAGAAAACACCATAAGCTCAACCAAAGATTTTGGACCTGAAATATGGGAAGAAACAACATTTAGTTCATTTGCTTTGAAGTAATATTACACTGTTAATTGAATAATTATTCTCAAATGTAATCTTTGAAGTAATTTCAAAGAATACATGAAGAGTTCTGAGGGGTGCATAAATAATACTTTTTTACCATTGTATTTTCAGTACTATTCAAGAAACTAGTTGGATTCATAAAATAAAATATGTCCTCCAACATAGCTTATGGAAAATGAGAATTCAACACTGTAATACTACATGTGTTCATTTAGAAGTAAGTGCTATAATGTTTAAGAGTCTTTAGGCTAGCTTTCAAGATAAACAGG